TTCAAATTCAAAAGTGTCCAATTCAAATTCAATGAACACCTTCTTAAATTTTTCCTTAGTGTTCTATTCAAAGTGCCAATTCCTACTTCTCGAGTCATTCTAGAGTCAATTTTTCTTGCTCAAATTTTTGGTTGAAACTCTACAATGATTGAATTTTGATTGAGATCGAGTTAGCTCTTTGAAACGCTTGCAAGACAACATTGAGTGGAAAAATACAAAAGTTGTGAGACTAATAGAAGAAAAAAAAGTCAATTTAAGTGATATACGAGCGTGTACATGTGAGGCAATTATTAAATTAGATTTAGGGTGTCGGATAGAGACGAGTCTACTTCTAGAAGGACTAATAATCAAGTCAATATATTCGATGAGGTGATACGACAGTTTGAAAGGTTGTTTGGGGATGTGAGAGACATATTGGATAGGCACAATGTATTACTTGCTAACGCAATGAGGCAAGGAAGGCGAGATCATACAATGAATTTTGTTGGTGTATGTGAAGCGGATAGAGACATTAATGAGGATGCATTGGTGTATGTCGAATTATGAAGAATGCGAGATAGATGAGTTAGATATGAAATGAGAAAGTGGAGCATGCAGTGCGGTTAAAAAGACCATAGAGATGCTAGTGAACATTTTTATTGGTCTAAAATGAAAGTAGATGTTGATCGGATTTGTAGTAGATGCATCACTTGTAAAAAGTTAAATATAAAGTTTTACCTCAAGGTTTATATACGCCATTGACTTCTTTTTTTTATCGGTAAATATAAATTACTATAGATCAAAAACTCATGTACATGTACTCCGGGCATTTTCGGGTGAAACAACAATCAAGTGGGACATACAACTACTCCAGGCATACCCGAGCAAACAAAAGAAAAAGATGTACAAATAAAATAGATTAGCGAATAGCTAACGACTCCCATGAATCAAAACATTCGGATACAAATAGAACATAACTTTATATACATATATTTAAATTCGTCTTACAATGCACTCAACTTGTGGTCTTAGATCCTCGAAAATCCTCATATTCCGTGCCATCCATATGTGGTAAATGGTAGCAACAAGTGCAATTCTCTTGATTTTACTTTGCCAAGTCGTACCCCGGGCTTCCTTTTTAATCCATTTCAATGAGCTTGACAAAGTAGACATAGTATGTGTGATGGCCAGCCATCTGTCCCCAAACTGAGTTTCTGAATGGACAGGAAAAAAAAGTGTTGTGCGATTTCTTCCATCTCTCCACAAAATATGCAATTTCTATTCAATTCCATGTATTAGCTTGTCTTTAGTTAGTAATCTAGACTGAACTCCTAACCAAAGAATGAAAGCATGCTTCGGGGTGATGTGCGTTCCAAAAAGTGGATGCCTAAACTACCTTGGTACCCTTAGGCCTAAAAAATTTATAAGCTGCCTTGGTGCTGAATATGTCCACTACAGTTCACTCAGTCATCCTATCAATTCTATCTTGAATGCACCGTTCAAGTCCTATGATGCTGTCCTTGATTTCCACACTTTTTAAAGTAGGAGAGAGTTATTTTTCACCATGCATTCCCAAATGTTCGTCCCACGAAGGTGCACCTAATTGACCTAATGAATCCAAATGGTATCCTTTTTCCTCTGGATTTTCCAAAGTGTTTTCGAGAATAGTGCAACATTCTAGCTTTTGATATATCTAAATCTAAGTCCTCCCTCTTGCTTTGGTAAGCAAATATTGTTCCAAGCGACCAATGGTTTTTTGCATCACCATAGGAAATTCTAGCAGAGACTAATGACTTTGGAGGCAACCATAGCCGGTATAGGAAATATAAATAACCAAAAACATTCCACACCTTGAAGATCGGCTCTCACAAGCTCCACTATCCTCGTATATGACAATGAAGCTCTCGACCATGCACCAATATATGATGAAATCTTGTTGATGAAGGAATCATATGAACTAACTTTCAATTTTTCCACCGCAAGTGGTATACGCAAGTAACAAAACGGCATGGCACCCTTTGGAATATTCTTTAATGGAAGAATATCCTCCAAC